CACAGAAGACTCCTTTGTTCCGATGAAAAAGGAGATAAGAACCTCCAGTTTGAAGTGAGACCACACGTACCTCTTGGGAAATATCTTTCAGTTGACCTTCTGAGGAGGATCATGCGAATTCTCCACCTGGGGATGGATCCCAGCCTTTCTAGGCCTTCTGAGTGCATGGAATACTCTCTAGCAATGGCTGTAGAGATAATTCTGATGGTAACTGAGGAAATGAACGGCTCAAGTGACTGCCTCACAGGATCTGAAGCCTTAGCTAAGGTGAGTCTAATATCATAAATTTGAGAGCCAGCTGGGTGACCTTAGGTCAGTCACAGTCAGTGTTCCCTCTAAGCTGAGTTGTTGTGAGCTAGCTCACAGTTTTTTAGCCTCTGGCTCACACACATCCTCAGGAAGGATGGCTCCAGAGCAAACTAATGTATGCAGGAGCCAAATTGCTCACTCTCAACTTTAATGCCAGTAGAATTTTTGCTCACAAGACTCCACAGCTTAGAGGGAGCATTGGTCACAGTTCTTTCAGAGCTCTCTCAGCCCCTAAAAACAAGTTTAGCTCACCACCTAAGAGCTAGAACTTGCGAATGCCAGACAATTTTAGGATCTCCTGGCTATCCTACACACAATGCCATCTCCCTGATATATAAAAGCCGAATGGTGGTGGCATGTCTCTAGAATATTCCACACGCTCCGGAATTGGTTGGCGCCCTGGTGTGTCACTCAGAATCAGTCCCTATCCACTGGCTGCATTGCTTGAGTCTTGCCTCCAACATTCTAAACAGCTTGCTGTTCCTCTCCCCCCCATAGCCAGTCAGAACACGGAGGTTATTTGCATATGCAGCCTCACTGGCCTTTGCCTCGGAACACAGAGATCATTTGCATATGCAACTTGATTGGCTTTTGCCTCTAACATTCTAAACAGTTTGCTGTTCTGAGGTAAAATTTCCAGGTGAGGGCTGGAGATCACTCAGAATTACAACTGCTTTCCAGATGGCAGAGATCAGTTCCCTTGGAGAAAATGGTGGGCTCTGTGTCCAATGTGACGTAGCAGTCAGGGCTTCAGAGCACGGGAGAGGCTGCAGGTGTGTGGGGGGTGGAAAGCTGAAGAGTGAGGGGGAAATAAAGGTAGGTTAATGATTGGCTGGGAAGGAGATAGCGTTGCCAACTCCAGGTGGGAAATTCCTGGAGATGTGAGGGATGGAGCCTGGAGTGGGTGAGGTTTCAGGAAGCGTGGGACCTCAGACAGGTACAAATCCATAGACTCCACCCTCCAAACCAACCATTCCCTTCTGGGGGACCATCGTTGCCAATCTCCAGGTGAGGGCTGGAGATCACTCAAAATTACAACTGTTCTTTAGGTAGCAGAGATCAGTTCCTCTGGAGAAAATGGTGGACTCAGTGTCATTATACCCTGGTGAGGTCGCCACAGCAAATTGACACTGAGTGTCCAAGGCCGGGGCACCCGCCCAGAGCCTCTTTCTAGAGATCGTTGTATTTATTTCCACAATGGGCCTTTTTCCTAGTATAATAATTATTATTATTACCGTACGTTTGTCTGTGAATACTACCACCCCTCCCCGCACTTTATTAGACTTCTTTCCCCTTTTTTTCTTCCACTTAGACTCTAAAGGAGAATAAGTTTGATGGTTCATACTAGGGATGCCGATACAGAGAAGATCTGCCTGGTAGTGGTCGAAGTAGAGGACAGGTCCATCATGTTCCATAGCAATAAGACCTGTTTTGACGAGGGTGCGTGGAAGTTTGCTGGGTTTGTTTTGGACAACAGGAAGAAGAGTCAACTGTATGCTGCTTCCCCAGGCCAAACACAGAGTGATCAAGGCCACCCGTGGCAGCAGACCTCCACGGCAACCATAGTGTGGCTGACGAGAGACCACGAAGGACTTCCAAGTATTTTAAGGTGAATAATAGACTCCCCCTGGACACCATTAGGTTAATTCTTTTGTTAGCAAATGTCACTTGAGAGTCAACCGAAAAAGCTGAGGAACTACGGTTGCCAGCTCTGGGTCAGGAAATACCCGAAGATTTGGGAGGTGGAGCTTGAGGAGGGGAGGGGCTTCAATGGGGTATAAGGCCAGAGAGTTCACCTTCCAAAGCAGCCTTTAAATGCTGGTTTTCTGGGGTGGTGGTGGTAGCAGCATGCTTTCCCTGATCTCCAAGCGGCAAAACCACCACTCGGAGATCAGGGAAAACCAACGGCCACCCCTCTCCCTTGCAGGAGGTGAGGGAGAGGGCCAGCTGCCGGCTGCATGCCTTCCCTGATCTCCAACTGTGCGCCTGCTCTGCTAGAAAAACAGCCAATTGCTGCTTGGAGATCAGGGAAAGCGTGCTCCCCCCCCCCGCTAGAAAAATAGCACCTAAAGGGTTCCCTTTAAATGCTTTTTTTTAAGCAGGCTGCAAGATTTCAAGGGCCCTCCAGCTGGTCGGCGGGCCACGTGCTCCTGCGGATAAGCTGGAAGGCACTTCTAATGCCTCAAGGAGGGGAGGGGGGGGAGAGAGGCAGCAGCCTTTGTGGGGCACGCCTCCCATTTTAAGGGAGCAGAGCCCCAAAATGCCCCACCATAGCTACGGACCAGGGAAACAGTCAAGAGGTCGAACATGTGGAGACTTGTCCTTCCACAATAACTTCCCATGAATAACTCGCCACTTCCACCCAGACACGTGAACTGGCCTTGCCGAATATAAACCGGCATAGGTAGCCTCAACACACCCAACTGAAGTTTCAGGACGAAAAATCTCTCAGATTTGGAGAAGTCACGGAGCACCTCTTAGGGCTCAAAGAGCCCTCTGCACCCTCCATGTGGGCTTATGGCTACTTAAAGCACCGAAGGATTCCGGTCCGGGTGCTGTTTGCTAGCAGGAAAACCAAAGCAGCTGAACTTTACATTTAAAGCAGATACGAAATTTGTTTGGTGCTGCATTCGTCACTGAACCTAAGTTCTATGTTAAGCTGCAACAGACAATGTCTGTACTCGGGCATCAACCAATCGAAGCCTAGCTCTGGGGCAATGTTCCCTCTAAGCTGTGGGGTCTTGTGTGCAAAAATTCTACTTTGTGAGCAACTGGCATTAAAGCTGTGAGCCAGCGATTTGGCTGCTGCATAAATTAGTTTGATCTGGAGCCGTCCTTCCTGAGCTAAGACAAAAATCTGTGAGCCGGAGGCTAAAAAACTGTGAGCTAGCTCACACTAACTCAGCTTAGAGGGAACACTGCTCTGGGGACAGGGGCGTTTTGTTGGTCCTTGAAGGGCTTGAAGAACAAATTTTGTTCTACTACTGCAGACTAGCATGACAGCCCAACTGAACCTACGATCAGTAGGAAAAGCTCACCCTGTCCAGTTCTGCACGGCTAGCCTACCAATGGCCGTAGGGTTGGAAGCATTCTGGTAGGGTTGCCAGCATCACTTACCTAGCCAGCGGGGGGCTCCCAACATCCTTCTAGGAGACCGGAAGTGAGGCTGGGCGACGTCCGGTAAAACCAAAAGTGCAGGTCCCGACATGATGACATCACCTGCAAGTGACGTCATCACGTTGGGCCTGTCGCTTTGATTTTTGGGCAAAACTCAATGGTAAATTTGACTTCAAACCATAGAGTTTTGCCTACAAACCAGTGTCACCCCCGATGTCCCCAACGTGATGACATCACTACCGGGTGACATCATCACATCAGGGCCTGCACTTCGAGTTTTACCGGAAGTCGCCCGGGAAGGTCAGTTGGGGGTGGGATTTCCCCCCACCAGCCAGCTGGTCAGTGGCAGGCAAGAGCCCATGAAAGCACGGGTTCCCCCGCCCCCACCGGGGGACTGGGAGCCCTACATTCTGGGTTTCCCATCTTTGGCTTCAGTTCTTTCCTCTCCAGCTTACATTTCAGGAAGTGAAAGTGAGGTACTCGTGGAGTGTGCACATGGGGACATAGGGTTCCGAGATGCATGAGAAATACCACTACAGAGTTTATTCTGCTGCTCCAACCCCTTCATTTTCACCCTCCAAAGGTGGGCAGGATAATAATCTCCCATGACTCACTTGTAGAAAACAGAAACTCCTGTCTAAGCAAGAACGTACAGTTGTCCGAAAACACAAAGCAGCAAATAAACACAGCTGGTTTGAACTCAAGGTTCCCTGGGAATTCATCAGCAAGATTTTGGACGACTACTCCTGCCTTTTGGGGGCAGGGGCCAAGGACAAGGAGAACCCCACCTGATGTAAGATTCACTGTACCTCAGGGAAGCTAGATAGATATGGTTCCTGATCAAGAAAACAGAGAATGCGCGAGGACAGGGATCCCCAATCTTTTGGAGCCTGTCAGCACCTTCCGAATTCTGATACAGTGCGGTGGGCTCAGCCACAATATGGCTGTCGCAAAATGGCTGCTGCAGGCAGTGGAACCAGACTCAGAAAATGGCCGCCGCGGCTGACCTTCAGTCACACGGTGAAAATTCTTGTGCCATGGCGGCAGCTGCTGCCAAAGTGACGATTTAAAAAACCTGCACAATCAAATCTTCAGTAGCCAGTTAGAAGTTTGGCTCGGCAAAGACCCCACCCACTTTCTAAGAACACGGCGAGTGTCAGGAAAGGTGTCGGGGGCACTATGGCATTCCCGGGCACCACGCTGGGGAACCCTGAACTAGGTTAAGGGAAGATCGGGGCTCTTGTGTTATGCAGCGCCCCTGTATGAAGTCAAAACTGGCAACATTTAAAAAAATTGATGTTGTGGGTCTGTATCTGTGATTCAGTTACCCTTTAAGTGAATTGGTCTCTTTAGAGCAGCAAGATGTCCGATCCATTATTCCTGCTTTCCCCCCTCCCCCTCCCCTCTAGAACACATGTTCCCTATATGGTAGAGAGACCACCCCTTCTGGTATTTCAAGATGGTTCTTTCCATCACGGTTGTTCATAATCCCTCCCCATTGTCAACTTCCAATGAGTAACGAACAGCCTGTTCGGAAGAAAGAAATTAACCACATGGGTAGAAGAAATGTTGGCTACAGACTGGGTCAGTTGTTAGGTTTCACAAACAGCATCCTCTCCTGAGCCCACAAAATGTCTGACCTCTCCCAGAACCGGGGACCGTTTTTTATCTGGAGGAGTAGACACCAGTAAGCAACGGATTCTGCTTTTCCTCCCGATGCAGGTATAACCGTACAGTTCAAGTCTTTTCGACCCCTTGATTGTTACCCGCTTTTACGTTTGTACAGACGGAGCTGACTGGGGAGTTCAAAAAGGCTGTTAACTAAACAGAGGTGTCTTCTCCATCGTCACGTGATCATTTGAGTCTCTTCGTCTGCATCGTAGAATTCCTCGTCTTCGCTTTCGCTCCCCGCTGAGCTATCCCGGTCAGACTGAAAGGAAAATGTGATCCTGGTGTTAAGAGGGGATCTTCAGCATCCTTCGAACTGCACAACTTGGCCAGAGTTACATTTGAGCTTAGGATGGTGCTGGGCGTGTAACTGTGGCGGGCTGGGGGTTAAGCACCCCCCCCCTTACAGACTGAGCAGAGCAAAGGGTAAGAAGCCACAGAGCAGGAGCACCTCATGGTCTGGTTCAGGGGTCCCCAACCTTTTTGAGCCTGTGGGCAGTGTTCCCTCTAAACTGAGTTAATGTGAGCCAGCTCACAGTTTTTCAACCTCCAGCTCACACTTTTTTGTCTTGTTTCAGGAAGGATGGCTCCAGAGCACACTAATTTACGCGGTAGCCAAATCGTTCGCTCACAACTTTAATGCCAGCAGCTCACAAAGTAGAATTTTTGCTCACAAGACTCCACAACTTAGATGGAGCATTCACTTTTGGAATTCTGACACAGGGTGGTGGGCGCAGCCACAAGATGGTTGCCAGGGAATGGCCGTGGCAGGAGGCAGAGCTGGCCACAAAACATCTGGGAATGGCTCTGTGCAATGCTCCTTCTCAGCTGTGGAGTCTTGTGAGCAAAAATTCTCCATTGTGAGCCACTGGCATTAAAGTTATAAGCGAGCAACTTGACTGCTGCATAAATTAGTTTGCTCTGGAGCCCTCCTTCCTGAGCTGAGACAAAAATCTGTGAGACGGAAGCTAAAAAACTGTGAGCTAGCTAGAGGGAATGCTGGCCCCGTGCCCTGGTTTTACCACCGACAGCCTGTACCCGCCGCATAAACAAGCTAGACAAACTGAGCTGGTGTGAGAAGACCATCGTGACTTGTATCGTCACCTTAACTGCTAACTGCTAACTTTTGTTTCTCGCACTTTATCAGATCACGTTCCAGCACTTTGGGATGATTGTTCATGAATTATGCTGTTTTATGTTCTTATGATTGGTTTTTATTGTATTCACACAGGGAATTTTATGTAAGCCGCCCTGAGCCTGCCGTGGCAGGGTGGGCGGGATATAAACTGAATTAATAAAGAAAGAATAGAGAAATAATAAAATGGCTGCCGTGGCTTCCAGTGACGATCCTTCTGCTGTGGTGGCAGCTGCTGCCAGAGTGATGTTTTTAAAGGTCTGTACGGCCAATCGAATCTCTAATGTTCGATCACAAGACTTGCTGGGCAGAGCCCCACATGGCCCCTGCCTACTTTCTAAAAACACTTGGTGGGCTTCAGGAAAGGTGTCGGCAAGCACCACGGTGGCCACGGAGACCATACTGGGGACCCCCGTCTATCGGGTTGCCTGTTCTTACTGGGCTTGTGGTGGGGGGCTCCCGGCTCTGAGCCTGGATCTTCTGGGGGGCACCACACAACGACGTCACCCAGAAGTGACGTCATCACGCTGGGCATGTTGTATGGCAACGCTTTAGCGTTTTGACCAAAACTCTATGGTTACCACAGAGTTTTGGTCAAAACACTAGAGTGTCGCTGTGCAACATGACCAGCGTGATGACGTCACTTCCGGATGATGCCATCATGCCGATGCTGCAGGAGGGGGCTGATTGGGGGTGGGGCTTCCAGGGGTGGGCGGGGGTGGGGCAGATTGCAGCCCATGGAACTGGGGGACCCCCCGACCCAACCAGGGGGTCTGGCAACCCTACCAGTCTAGTTCCTGACCCTCCCGAAGCCTCTCTTCTGTCCTCTTGGCTGCCCCTTCACAAAACTGCTCGGGAAAAGTGGGTGCAGGCTTTGACAGGGAACACTTGCTCCCATGTCCCTGTTTCCAGGGACAGGAGTACAAAGGTCTCCACTGAAGTGGTGGCCAACCTGGTCTCCTAGGGATACCAGTCCATCTGCGAAGTCTGGAGAGGGGCCCAGAAAGAAACCTTGCTTATCCACTCAGGAGGAAATCAGCCAACAGTCCCTCCTTTCTTGAAACTCAGTCTCCTAACTGACGGGAGGCACTTCCCAGATGCCAAACCCTCTAGAGGCACTGCCCGGGAAAGCTCGGGTTCATACTTGTGTGGTCGGACTTCTGAGACTGAAGGAGGAAGGAGGAGGTTTGGATTTATACCCCGCCCTTCACTTGGAGTCTCAGAGCAGCTTACAAACTCCTTTCCCTCCTCCTCCCCACAACAGACACCCTGTGAGGTGGGTGGGGCTGAGAGAGCTCTGACACAAACTGCTCTTGAGAGAACAGCTCTATTTATTTATATTTATTTATTTATTCAAGTTTTATCCCGCCTGCCCTGCCGAGGCAGGCTCAGGGCGGCTTACATTAAAAGGTTACAGATGAAGAGGAGAAGAGATTGGATCTATACCCCGCCCTTCACTACCCAAAAGAGTCTCAGAGCGGCTTACAAACTCCTTTCCCTCCCCCTCCCCACAACAGACACCCTGTGAGGTGGGTGAGGCCAAGAGAGCTCTTGACAGAAACTGCTCTTTTTCAAGAACAGCTCTTACCAGAACTACGGCTTGCCCAAGGTCATCCAGCCAGGTGCAAGTGGAGGAGTGGGGAATCAAACCCGGTTCTCCCAGATTAGAGTCCGTGCACTTAACCACTACACCAAACTGGCGTATATTAAAAGCACAAGTGCTCATTAACACACTACAGCATCATAAAATACAAAATCACAGCAAAATCACAGTGCAAAATAAAGTGCTGGTGGCAGTAACGTCCCAGTGGCCATGATAGGATGGTCCGAAGTATGTCCACCATCATAACAGGCAATTGGTGTTAACACAGATGGCCTTGACAGTCCAGTTGGTACTGTTAGAGCTCTGAGAGAACTGTGACTGACCCAAGGTCACCCAGCTGGCTGCATGTGGAGGAGTGGGGAATCAAAACCCAGTTGTCCAGATCAGAGTCCGCCGCTCTTAACCACGACACCAGACTGAAAGGGCTGGACGTGGCTTTGGATATTTGCAACCGAGCCGGCGGGTCGCCCAAAGCTCCGAAGAGTCTTCTCACAGGCTCGATGAGGTCTTGTGAATCTCCTAGAGTCCAGGTGCCAGAGGATCTGGCTTTATCTAGACTTAATGGAGATAGCCCTTTCCAGCAGAGGGACAGTTCTAAGAAGGTTGCAGAGGCACCTACTTGGGGTCCCTCCAGGGTCTGCAGTGCCACGGCTTCAGCCCCAAGCCTCCGATAGGAGGAAACCTGCAGGTCGGATATTGTCTCCAGCAACGGGCTGTTTAAGGTTTCGGGCAACAAGAGACTCAGCAGGCCCGACAGCAAGCCCATCACGCCAAACACGACGAATGGCAGAGACCACTGCACAGATTTCTGTAAAAAATGAGGAGCAAATATTAATGGAACAAGAGCTTACCCTTCAGGGCATCTCACATTTGCCTGACATCTCTGGCTACAATGTATTTGCACATTAAATACTCTAGCAGCAGATTCGTGGGCCAGGAATAGTTAAGAGCTAGGCATGCAGTAACACACAGGGGTCATTTCCTGCAGGAGCGGAGCTCTGGCAGTAAAGAGCCCGGGGGGGGGCACATGCAACAAGCCCCACCCCCTGCTCCCAGCAGCCCTCAGTCAGAGCAAGAAGCAGCCAGGTAAGTTGCAGAGCCCCCCCCCAGCCACCCGGTCCAAAACAGTCCAGTGGCACCTTTAAGACCAAGTTTTATTCAGGTACAAGCTCTCCCTCCTCTGCGAGGACAGATCTGCACGTTCCCCCCCCTCCCCAATAGCCTGCAATCCAAAACAGTCCAGTGGCGCCTGAGCGGTGGGTGTTGCCTTCTGACACACTTCCGGTGATGTCAGGGGGTGTGGCATATGCAAATAAGTTATGCTAATGAGTTATGCGAATGAGCTCCTGCACCTCTTTTTCTACGAAAGGACCCCTGGTAACACACACACATGCACAAGCACTGACTCAGCACCAGTCCACTCAGCAAATCTCCACACATCAGTTCATCCGGGTGGGAAGCCATGTTGGTCTGAAGCAACAGAACAACGTCTGAGTCCAGTGGCAGCTTTAAGACAAACGAAGTTTAATTCTGGGTACAAGCAGGGCCTTTTTTTGGAAGAAAAAGCCCAGCAGGAGCTCATTAGCATAACAGGCCACACCCAACAGCAGAAACTCATTAGCCTATTAGGCCACACCCCTTCCCTAAGGCATTGAAATCTCCCCCCCCTCCCTGAGTTTCTCTGCAAAAGCGGAGGGGGCTCAGGGGGGAAGGGGGCATGTCTGCTGCCTCCCCTTCCCAGCCAACCCACCAGGCTGTGGGGCACCCGGAGAAGATCGGGCAGGGAACCCAGGCATGTTCAAAGGTTTTGGCTGTAGGCGTGGGCCTACTCGGAAGCCAGCCGGAATGCTGCTCCGGTGCGTTCCTGCACAAAAATAGCCCTGGTAAGCTTTTGGTTGCATGCACGCGTCATCAGATCGATGTTTGAAGAGAAGAAGAAAAGATTGGATTTATACCCTGCCCTTCGCTCAGAGTCTCAGAGCGGCTTACCATCTCCTTCCCCTCCCCACAACAGAAACCCTGTGAGGTAGGTGGGGCTGAGAGAGCTCTCTCAAGGACTTCTCTTGAGAGAACGGCTCTGGGACAGAACTTGTGACTGACCCAAGGACACCCAGCAGCTGCATGTGGAGGAATCAGACCCGGTTCTCCTGGATTAGAGTCCGTGCTCCTCACCACTGCACCAAACTGGCTAGCCCGCCAGCCCCAGGCATACTGAATGACTAAGTCATCTGTGTGTCTGAATACAGTCTGGATTCAGGAGCATGTGCTCCCTTCTACACACAGGGTACATCTGCTGCACCCTTCTCAGAGTTAGAACAGCCCAAAGGAGCTCTTTGAGGGGGGACCTGCTGGCCAAGGCCCACCATTCAGAGCATCTCCTCTCTCCCTCACAGGGTCACCAACCACCAAATGGGTCATAAGAACATAAGAGAAGCCAATGCTGGATCGGGCCAAATGGCCCATCCAGTCCAACACTCTGGGTCACACAGTGGCCAAAAATATCAGGTGCCATCAGGAGGTCCACCAGTGGGGCCAGGGCACTAGAAGCCATCCCACTGTTGCTCCCCCCCCCAGAACCTAGAATACAGAGCATCCCTTGCCCCAGACTGAGAGTTCCTGTCTATTCCTAGTGGCTAATGGCCACTGATGGACCTCTGCTCCGTATGCTTATCTAATTCCCTCTTGAAGCCGCCCGTGCTTGTAGCCGCCACCACCTCCTGTGGCAGTGAGTCCCATGTGTTAATCACTCTCTGGGTGAAGAAGGACTTCCTTTGATCCGTTCTAACCCGCCCGCTCAGCAATTTCATTGGGTGCCCACAAGGAGTTCTTGTATGGTGGGAAAGGGAGAAAAGGACTTCTTTCCCTCCCTGCTCTATCCCACGCATAATCTTGTAAACCTCGAGAGATCTCATGGAGATCTCTTGGAATTCCAGCTGACCTCCAGACGAGAGAGACCGGTTCCCCTGGAGAAAACAGCTGCTCTGGAGGGCGGGCTCTGTGGCACCGGACCCCGAAGAGGTCCCTCCCCTCCCCAAGCCCCGCCCTTCCCAGGCTCCACCCTCCGAAGTCTCCAGGGATTTCCCACCCTGCAGCTGTCAGCCCTACTCTGGAGCCGTGCCTGATGCTGGATGAAGTTCGACCGGCACTGGTGAGTGGCAAACTGTCAACATCTGGTCATTCTCCAGACCTGCGGATGCGAGAATAATGTTCCCTCCCTGCCCCACCTCTACTCACTGAAGGGGGAAAGAATGGGCATCTATGAAAAGCCCTGGGTAAGAAAAAGGAAGAAAGAAAAGCAGCACTTTTCCAGTTGCAGGGAAAGAACACAGGAGTGCTCTCTGCGCATGACTTATTGGCATCCTTTGAAGTGTTTGGAGGAGCGGCAAAGTCAGAGCCGAGACACACCAGAGATGGGACAAAAGGAGCAATGATCCCTCCGACTCGGGAAAACATGGAACAGACGCCCATTCCGACGTTCCTGCAAAGAACATAACATAAGAACATCAGAAGAGCCCTGCTGGATCAGACCAGTGGTCCTCCTAGTCCAGCATCCTGTCTCACACAAAGGCCATCCAGTTCCTCTGGGCAGCCAACAACAGGGCACAGAGGTCGAGGCCTTCATAAGGACATCAGAAGAGCCCTGCTGGATCAGGCCAGTGGTCCACCTAGTCCAGCATCCTGTCTCACACAAAGGCCATCCAGTTCCTCTGGGCAGCCAACAACAGGGCACAGAGGCTGAGGCCTTCATAAGGACATCAGAAGAGCCCTGCTGGATCAGGCCAGTGGTCCACCTAGTCCAGCATCCTGTCTCACACAGTGGCCAACCAGTTCCTCTGGACAGCCAACAACAAGGCACAGAGGTCGAGGCCTTCCCCTGATGTTGCCTCCTGGTTCTGGGATTCACAGGTTTAGTGCCTCTGAACGTGGAGGTTCCCTGCAGCCACTAGTAGACTTATCCTCCATTGATCTATCCAACCCCCTTTTAAAGCTGTTTATTCATCACTACATCCTCTGGCAGCCAATTCCATATTTGAATCACTCTCTGTGTAAAATAGAAATGACGAGCAGTAGCGTTTACAGGAAAGTTTTACTTCTTCTGACAGATTTGGGCTTACAATTGTGCTTTTTTTTTTGCCCAGAGGGGTGTCTGAACTCTGCTGAAAACATTTCCCTAACAGAACTCCCAACACATAGCAATGAAGGATTGCATCGCTCAGGAAGAGAGAGTTAAGTTGCACCCTTCTGACCAACTGAAATGAATGTATTTCTTAAAAAGCACGAGCTTTTTCTTTCCTGTATCTGAATCTGCTTATGCATCTTCTCCTTGTTGTGCCCTTTTGTTGTTGAGAGCCAGTTTGGTGTAGTGGTTAAGTGCGCGGACTCTAATCTGGGAGAACCAGGTTTGATTCCCCACTCCTCCACTTGCACCTGTTGGATGACCCTGGGCAAGCCACTGTTCTCTCAGAGCTGTTCTCTCAGGAGCAGTCCTCAAGAGAGCTCTCTCAGCCCCACCTACCTCACAGGTTGTGGGGAGGGGAAGGGAAAGGAGATTGTAAGCCGCTCTGAGACTCCGAGTGAAGGGCGGGATATAAATCCAATCATCATCATCATCATTTATTTTATTGATTTAGTTATTTTATTATATTTCTATCCTACCCTCCCCACGAAAGGGCTCAGGGCGGCTCACAGTTTAGGGCACCATGTGCCAAATATAAAAACATATAAAAACACATCAAATAAATCAACCATATTTTACAATTAAAGTGCTCAGTGATGTTGGTCCTTCAATCAAATTTAGATGGCACAGTGTAGATGCCTCCTCCTCCTCTTCTAGAGTATCATAAACCATTGTGATTATCCATATATCTCATTCTCACTGTGGCTTTATCTGTGGATACTTAAATCCAGGGATGGGGGCCATGTCGAGAGAAGAAAGAACTTTCTACAAACTTGGTGGAAGCCCCAGGCTTGCAGAAAAATCTGAAAACTAAAAAAAAAAAAAAAGGGGAGGAGGAGGGTTTAAATCCCCCAGGAAGGGAGGAATCGTGATCAGGGTGTCTCTCCTGCCAGGTAAGTTATCTTCGACGGTAAGATGTATAATCAGATACGCGTATATATTGCCCATACTTTCAGCCTATCCGGGGAGACACAGAGCTCTACGTCTCCCCTCCGGTGACCGCAGATCCTAGGAGCCAGATTGGGACCACACTATTATCTGTCGAGGCCCATACCGCTTTAGTGTGTAGGTGGTTTTGTTGGTTTTAAATGGATTGCGATAATATGTTTTAATTGTAAATCCGCACTCATTGCAGATCTCTGTGTTGATACCAGTCCTGAGCCTACAAAGTAGGGATGGTGGGGTAGAAGTCTAATAAAATAACATAAAAATAAATAAATTAAATGGTCTCTAATAAGAGCCAGGACACAACGTACAAGTTTGCTAAATAGGGTTGGTTGGCATTGAAGTGTAGGAGATCTCTTAGACAGAGGGACCGCCCCAGTTCTGTTATTTATGAGAAATATGACTCTGTATATTCAACATTGAAATTTATTGTCTGTGAATTTTTTTTAGTGTAACATATTTGTTTTATATATTTATATATTTTATCTACCATTTCTGTATTACTCTTGCTGGTCTTGGACCATAGGAATATATACATATACATATATATATGGCCGCAGTGGCTCAGAGGTTAAGATTTTGAGCTGCAAACCGGGAGGTCTGTAGCTCGGCAGTTCGAGACCTGAGTGCCGCGTGACGGAGTGAGCTCCCGTCTCCTGCCAACCTAGCAGTTCGAAAGCAAGACACTGCAAGTAGATAAATAGGTACTGCTTTGGTGGGAAGGTAACAGCATTCTGGGCACCTTGGCGTTTAGTCATGCCAGCCACGTGACCATGGAGAAGTCTTTGGACAGCAAAGACTCTTCGGCTTGGAAACTGAGATGGGCACTGCCCCCTAGAGTCAGATTCGACTGGCTGTCGAGCAAGGGAAACCTTTACCTTTACCGTTATGGAGGAATCGTGGGAAACCTTCAACCTCTCCCGTGGGAGTAGTGGAGAAGTTCCACTGGAAATGGGCAGAGGAAGGTGCTGCCCCTTGTGTGGCCACATGAGATGCAGAGACCGCAGTGATGCCCACCAGCTGGAGGGGCAGCGAAACAGATGCAGGCAAACGGGCAGCCTGGAGAGGCAAACTGATGCAGGGGGGGGGGGACGGGGAGCTGCCACCACTGCCTGCCTGCTGCTTTGTTCCTGAGAGGGGTGGGCGGGGGCACTGCTGCATGTGCCGTGGAGGGGCAGCCACCGAAATGGACGGGGGGTGGAAGTGCCCCCCTCCGACACCTCAGCATGACCCACGAAGATGAGAGTGATGCCGGCTGGCTGGCAGGCAGGGGAGAGGGAGCGAACAAGTGGGCATCTTGGTGAGCAGCGGGGGGGGGGGGAGAGATGATGTTCCCCTCATAGGAGGAGGAGAGGAGGAAGAGGAAGAAGGAGTATATATATATATATAAAAAAGCACTTGAGCCACCGCAATCCCTAGCAGTTGGAAAGCAAGAAATTGCAAGTAGATAAATAGGTACCACTTCAGTGGGAAGGTAACAGCGTTCTGTGCGCCTTGGTGTTTAGTCATGCCGGCCACATGACAACGGAAACGTCTTCGGACAGCGCTGGCTCTTCGGCTTTGAAATGGAGATGAGCACCGCAACCCTAGAGTCAGATTTGACTGGCTTTCGAGCAAGGGAGATTGGATTTATACTCCGCCCTTCACTCGGAGTCTCAGAGCAGCTTACAATCTCCTTTCCCTTCCCCCCTCCCCACAACAAACACCTGTGAGGTAGGTGGGCCTGAGAGAGCTCTGAGAGAACTGCCCTTGAGAGAATAGCTCTGAAAGAACTTGTGACTGACCTAAGGTCACGCCAGCAGCTGCATGTGGAGGAGTGGGGAATCAAACCCGGTTCTCCCGGATTAGAGTCTGCGCTCTTAACCACGACACCAAATATAGTCAACGTATAGACAACAGAAGCCACACACACACACACACATCCCTAAGCGGAAGTTTTCTTACCTAATCACTGTCGGGTAGAGTTCTGATGTGTAGATATAAACAATGTTAAATGCGGAACTGATGGTGAGCTTCCCCAGCAAAGACAAGGACCGGCTGTTTATCACCGCAAACACTCCCGTAGCTGTTAGGGAAAACACAACACTTGTCAAAAAATTCTGCAGCAAGCCCTTTGGCTTTGTTCATTCGTACAAATGCCTGGAGAATTTAGATTTATGGGGAAGTCATCATGCCTTGGACAAATACTGGGTTGATCAGAAAGGGGCTTTTAAAACCTGCAAGAAAATCACAATTATGGTTTTAGTAGATTAAAAGGAGGAGGCTTTGTTTAGGTTGGCTTTTTTTTTTAAGCAGATGTAAAATGGTAAAGCCAGACACTCTTAAAATAATTTCTTTTTCACATAACGTTTGATAATTTGTAATGTTCCGATGCACAGGAATCAGGTCAAGGCAAAATGGCAGAGACGCCCAATGTGGTGCCCAGTGTTCCCTCTAAGCTGAGTTAGTGTGAGCTAGCTCACAGTTTTTTAGCCTCCAGCTCACACATTTTTGTCTTAGCTCAGGATGGATGGCTCCAGAGCAAACTTAATTTATGCAATAGCTAAATCGCTCGCTCACAACTTTAATGCCAGTCGCTCACAAAGTAGAATCTTTGCTCACAAGACTCCACGGCTTAGAGGGCTGTCACCTGGAGATCAGAAGAAGAAGAGATTGGATTTATACCCCGCCCTTCACTTGGAGTCTCAGAGCAGCTTACACTCCTTTCCCTTCCCCTCCCCACAACAGACACCCTGTGAGGTGGGTGGGGCTGAGAGAACTCTTGACACAAACTGCTCTTATTCAAGAACAGCTGTGCCAGAGCTTATGACTGACCCAAGGTCACATCAGCAGGTGCAAGTGGAGGAGTGGGGAATCAAACCTGGTTCTCCCAGATTAGAGGCTGTGCTCCTAACCACTACACCACGCTGGGAGCATTGCCCACCAAGTGTATTGAAAATGTGGGTGGAGCCAGGGGGCCATTTCCCCCGCAAGACTTCTATCTGGACATTGGAGATGGGTTGTGCGGATTTTTTAAAATGTCTGCTTTGGCAGCCACTGCCACCACAGCACAAGAATCTTCACTGTGTGACCGAAGGGAAGCTGCGGCAGCCATTTTGTGGCTGGCTCTGCCTCCTGTGGCAGCCATCTTGTGGCTGAGCCCTTCATGCTGTGTCAGAATTCCAAAGGTGTCTGCAGGCTCAAAAAGTTTGGGAACCCCTGTGATAAGGAATCTGTAGGTTGCAGTCACATGTGCCAGTTGAAGCGGAGGGGAAGCGAGGCTATTCCCTCCGGAGGAATTTGACCCGCGGGTGCAAGATCACACAGCCCTTTGTTGCTGCGGGCTCAGCCCGTCAATGTGTGATCAGACGCAACTGCGGGTGAGTTGGGGTTTTTTTGCCGTTTGTTTCCCATGTGCATAAACGAGGAATTGCACCTCCACACCGAGGGCCCCCTATGGGTATGTGATGATGTGCATACTGCGCAGACCCGCAGCTAATGCGGGGGCCGCAGGGCCTGCCCCCTAGCAGTTTTTATGGGCCCCCTTCCTGAGCGTCGGCTCCCCTACCCCAACTCCCCTTAATTGCCTGTCAGCCTGTTGGCAGGGAGGACAAGGGCAGTGGTTTCAGGGGCTGTCCCTGGTGCTGTGCTGCGGGAAGAGGCACTGGGGCTCCTTGGGGGGGGGAGCTGGACCCGGAGGCTGTGGCTGCTGCAGCCCTCGCCCTGGAGCCTTTGATTGGATTAGCAGGCGGACCCCCCTGGCCCCCCTAAAAAGTCCTTGGCTACGGGGCGAGGGGGGGGACTGGCACTGAGCCAGGATGGCCTGACCAGACCATCCCAACGGCTCAAAGGCATGCTTGCGCGATCAGACAGGGGAAAGTCTGTCCGTGGCCCGCTGGCCGCAACCTTTTTACCACCGGATTGTCTCCGGTGTCTTTTTACTCCGCTTCTGCGGTGGAGCAGTACAGACTGCCGATGGCTGCGGGACACTTCCCAGATGTTGCTGTCTGATCATGCCCTTTTGATCCATTGGGCATTCATGCCTGTGTTGGATCATCTGGGGCGTGCGCTTGCGGCTCTCTAGATATGTCAGACTTCTACATCTAGATGGTGTGGGCATTTGATATAAGAAAGAAGCAGGGCTATTTTTGGGCAAGAACGCACAGGAGCAGAGTTCCGGCTGGCTTCAGAGTTGGCCACACCCACTACAGCCAAAACCTCTGCATGTGTGGCTAAGGCGTCCCTGTGCCTTCCCTGGCCTGTCCAAGGGCCGGCAAGCCAAGGGAAGGCATGGGGGTGTGGCCTAACATGCTAATGAGTTTCTGCTTTTGGGTGTGGCCTATTATGCTAATGAGTTCCTGCTTGGCTTATTCTACAAAAAAAGCCCTGATAAAAACTATAAGTTAATTACATAATCTCGGATGGCGTCGATGATTTCCTTCGTACCCACTCTGGGCTGTGTTGCCGTCTCGTGGGCGGGGCGAGAAGGGGGCCGAAGCGCAAAGATGGAGGAGAAGGAGAAAAGGGTGCCAGCCATGATGGAACCGTTACCAATGTTCCCTCCGAGCTGTGGGGTCTTGTGAGCAAAAATCCTACTTAGTGAGCGACTGGCATGAAAGTTGTGAGTGAGTGATTTGGCTACTGCGTAAGTTAGTTTTGCTCTGGAGCCCTTCCTCCTGAGCTAAGACAAAAATGGGTGAGCCGGAGGCTAGAAAACTGTGAGCTGGCTCACATTAACTCAGCTTAGAGGGAACATTGACGTCGCTGTCCTCAACCGAGAGCCTGGTGGAACACCTCTGCCTGACGGGCCCTGCGGAACTGCATGGGAGACCCCACAGGGCCCCGGTGGTATTTGGCAGGGAGGTCCACCAGTTCGGAGCCAGGGCCGAAAAAGCCCTGGCTCTGGTCGAGGGCAGCCGGATATCTTCGGGGCCAGGGATCGCCGGTAGATCCAGACAAATCCAGAGACGACCCTTGGACTGACGCAGCTGAAGACGGCTTCTGTTTCGTTATTTTTGCAGAGCTTTGCTGAGGAGATAGAGGGCTGAGGCAGACTTCCCACAATGAAGAAACAAGACGCACGCAAAAAACCCCCTCACCTTTCTTTTCAGGAAGAAACATGACAACGAGGGAAGCCAGTCCTCCCAGGAATAAGAACGCCGCCAGGGTCCGTTTCCGGCCGAACCTGACAAGCCAGAAAGAAAGCGATGAGGATGCAGTGAGAAGAGAAAGCTCACACGCACTCTTTGCTTCATTCGCATGGCACCTCTTCTCCCTCTGCATTCACGAAATCACAAGGAACACAAAGAGTGTCCAAGCATTTGGTTGTCTTTTCGGCTCAGCTGGGGTCCCCCCATGTGTTTTTGGAACACGATGAAGAAGAAGAGGTTGGATTTATACCCTGCCCTTCAGTACCCAAAGGAGTCTCAGAGAGGCTTACAATCCCTTTCCCCTTCCCCAAGACAGACACCCTGTGAGTTACGTGGGGCTGAGAGAGCTCTTTGGTGTAGTGGTTCAGAGCACAGCCTCTAATCAGGGAGAACCAGGTTTGATTCCCCACTCCTCCACATGCAGCCAGGTGGGTGACCTTGGGTCAGTCACAAAGAGCTGTTCTCTCGAGAGCAGTCCTCAAAAGAGTTCTCTCAGCCCCACCTCCTTCACAGGGTGTCTGTTGCAGGGAGGGGAAGGGAAAGGAGACTGTAAGCCGCTCTGAGACACCTTCAGGTAGTGGAGGGCGGGGTATAAATCCAGTCTCTTCTTCTTCTCTTCTTCTGAGAACTGTTTGTGAGAGAACAGCTCTGAGAGAACTTGTGATTGTCCCAAGGTCACACCAGCAGTTGCATGTAGAGGAGCAGGGAATCAAATCCGGTTCTCCCAGATTAGAGTCCGTGCTCCTAACCACTGCACCCAACTGGAGGTGGGAAAAATACCGGTACATTTGATGCAATGAGGTTATACATTAACTTGCAACCTCTGTACGTTTGTATGCTTTACCGCCTGGCTTCTAAGGCCCCAAGACAAGTTAGAGATAATCTCCCGGGGCATTCAGCCTCTTGACCTGAAAGTCACCGTACGTCAACCAAAAGGAAATGGAAACTATGGAACTCAGATTCAAGCAGAAAATTTTGTGTTACTGAAACCCTAAACCTTGGGGACGGAAGTGTTAAATAAGGGGAGAGGCTGCTGCCACCTGCCCTGCCACCCCCGCCCCCGCTCCAACCCTGGATTAGTCTGCCAAAGGCACACAGATTTGTTTTCAAGTAACGGGGTCAAAAATTTGCGATAGCTGATGCTTTTGTGACATTGTTTCTGGCACTGTAGGCTGCTCTGAATCTTCACTGAGCGGAGAAAAGCAGTTTAAAATTCCCAAAATGTCATCAGTCCTAAGAGCACCAGGAGAGCCCTGCTGGATCAGACCAACAGTCCATCTAGTCCAGCTTCCTGTCCCACACAGTGGCCAGCCAGTTCCTCTGGAGGGCCAACAACAGGGCACAGAGGCCGAGGTCTTCCCCTGATAAGAACCTAAGAAGAGCCCTGCTGGATCAGACCAGTGGTCCGTCTAGTCCAGCATCCTGTCTCACACAATGGCCAACCAGTTCCTCTGGAGGGCCAGCAACACGACATAGAGGCTGAGGCCTTCATAAGAACATAAGAGCCCTGCTGGATCAGGCCAGTGGTCCACCTATTCCTGCATCCTGTCCCACACAGTGGCCAACCAGTTCCTCTGGAGGGCCAACAACAGGGCATAGAGGCCGAGGCCTTCATAAGAACATAAGAAGAGCCCTGCTGGATCAGACCAGTGGTCCATCTAGTCCAGCATCCTGTCTCACACAGTGGCCAACCAGTTCCTCTGGAAGGCCAACAACACGGCATAGAGGCTGAGGCCTTCATAAGGACATAAGAAGAGCCCTGCTGGATCAGGCCAGTGGTCCACCTATTCCTGCATCCTGTCCCACACAGTGGCCAACCTGTTCCTCTGGAGGGCCAACAACAGGGCATAGAGGCCGAGGCCTTCATAAGAACATAAGAAGAGCCCTGCTGGATCAGACCAGTGGTCCATCTAGTCCAGCATCCTGTCTCACACAGTGGCCAACCAGTTCCTCTGGAGGGCCAACAACACGGCATAGAGGCTGAGGCCTTCATAAGGACATAAGAAGAGCCCTGCTGGATCAGGCCAGTGGTCCACCTATTCCAGCATCCTGTCCCGCACAGTGGCCAACCTGTTCCTCTGGAGGGCCAACAACAGGGCATAGAGGTCGAGGCCTTCCTAAGAACATCAGAAGAGCCCTGCTGGATCAGACCAGTGGTCCATCTAGTCCACCATCCTGTCTCACAGGGTGGCCAACCAGTTCCTCTGGACAGGGCCAACAACAGGGCACAGAAGCCAAGGCCTTCCCCCGATGTTGCCTCCTGGCTCTGGGATTCAAAGGCTTAGTGCCTCTGAATGTGGAGGTTCCCCTCAGTCACCACGGCTAGTAGCCACTGACAGACTTATCCTCCATGAATCTACCCAGTCCCCTTTAAAGCTGTTTATTCCTGTGGCCATCACCACATCCTCAGGCAGCAAATTCTGCATTTTAATCACTCTATATGTAAAGTAGTTTCGCCTTTTGTCCATCCTGAATGAACCTCCTGCCCCTCAGCATCATTGGATGTCTTCAAGTTCTAGTAGTATTTTGGGAGAGGGAGAAAAAGGTTCTCTTTGTCAACTCTCTCCATCCCAAGCATAATCGGAGCATGGATTTGTCTCCCACTACGGACATAAGATTAACATCATTCCTGGGTCTGATTCAGGGACTTCTCTTCCCAGTTACAAACACTCACCATTTTTGATTGATCAAGTAGATACAGAGCGGGTACGCCGGAATCTCGATCAGTCCGGAAAGGGCCAGGTTGGCATAGATGCTGCCCCCCAGGTCGCCTGCATTGAGAGTAAGACCGTAATAAACTAAGCTGCAGACAAACCTGTAGGGGGATCAGAGAGAGAAAACGCACCGCAGTCAACATCAGAACGAGGAAGAATCTTGGGGCACCTTAAAGACGAGCAATGCTATTGGGTTGCGAGCCACGGCCTGTGCCATCTGAACTAAGCGGGCTCTGTTTCGTGAAATATTTTTGCCCCAGTAAACACATGTCAAATACTGGCTGCAGCAGATTATCACGGCTCCCCCTCTGGTGTCAGACAAAGTTGGTTCTTTCCACGAAGACCTTCTGGTCTCCAGCAGTGTTCCCTCTGAGCTGAGTTCGTGTGAGCCAGCGCACAGTTTTTTAGTTTCCGGCTCACACCTTTTTGTCTCCGCTCAGGAAGGATGGCTCCAGGGCAAACGAATTGATGCAGCAGCCCAATTGCTCGCTCACAACTTTAAGGCCAGCAGCTCACAAAGTAGATTTTTTTGCTCTCAAGGCTCCACAGCTTAGAGGGAGCCCTGCTCTGCAGTACAACAGTTACATTTGAATATAACAGCCCCTTAGAGCCCAAGGAGAATTTTCAGGGTGTGAGCTTTCGAGAGGAAATGCTAAAATGCTACAGATGCTAATCTCCTGGCCCTGAGCATTTCCCCTCAGCCCTAATCAAGCTGATGACAACAGGCATTGTACTTCTTGCATCTTTAACAAGCATTCTTGAAAACGCCCTTCTCGTCTTCTGACTGGGACAAAGGGACTGGCTAGGGTTGCCAGGTCCCCCTCGTCCCTCTGGTGGGGGGGGGACTTGGGGGGCGTTCTGGGGTGGATGGGGAGGCCCCAAGCCCCACCCCTCAAGAGTGACTGCCCACTCGGCCACCCTCTCCCTCCCCTCCTGCCAAATTTAAAGAGCCCTCCAGCTAGTCGGTGGGCCACATGGTCCCTGCTGATCAGCTGTAGCCCTTTAAATCGGGCAGGAGGGGAGGGGTAGCCGGGCAGGTGGTCACTCTTGGGGGTGAGGCTTGGGAGCAGGGCTTCCCCTGCTGGCCAGCTGGCCAGGGACAGACGGGAAGCCCCCAGAAGTGGGGGAACCCCCCGCCTAGACCTGAGGGCTGGCAACCCTATTCCGTGCCTAGAACCTGAGCTTCAATTTCAATTGTTAGGGAAACTGAATAGCAGAGTTTAGCTGTGTCCTTATGCCTAATGCTTTCTTTCTGCCAGACCCCTTTGTTGGTTGAACACGTCAGCCACCCAGGAACTGTGGCTCTCTGGTGGTCTCAGTGGCCAACCAGCGTCCCACAGATCAGCAGAAGCCGCAGAGGTGGCCCAGGAAAGTGAACACCAAACAGGGAACAAGTTCACTGACCCCCCTTTTATCTGTGGCATCCCGACTCTTGCCTGCCTTGGGAGAAGCAGCTCCCGGGCCCCAGGAACATCACTGAACCTCTGAGCCTCCACCAAATAAATGCAAACTTGTTCCGCTTTGACAGTAAGGCATATCAGCACGCGTTTCTGTGATCTGTGCATCGCTGGTGATTGTTACCCTCGGATTTGTTTTTCCCGGCTGAGTTAAACATGATCTAAACTGACACCTGTAAGATGTTTTCGCTTATCGAGTAAAGCGGAACGTGTGTCCGAACAGTGATTTTTGTTCTGCCGTTTGGAGAAAACATTTCTCTGTGTGCACAGTTGTCACCATTCATTGTTCAGGCCTGGCTCTTCACTATCAGGTTGCTTTTCCTTTTGTAACCCTTGAGAGTATCGGTGAGTTCCGCAGCCTGCTTTACAGAATGCTTGGGGCCGCGAGTCCCATGTTCCTTGTCCTAGAAATTTAATTCACGAGGCACAGTTGTCGTCAGGCCTCGGAGCGAGTCAAATTATGACTGGAAGGCATACAAAATTTTGGTGCATTCCGTGACCGATAAGCCATGCCTCCTTTTGTTTACAGGCAAAATCAGAAAAACACGAATGTTCGGCAGGTTATCCGCATCTGACACTGCCGCCTACTGTGCAGCAAAAACAACCACTGTGAAATACAGCGCTATTACAATCAAGGCAAAAGTAAAAAGTGATTACATATACTCAGAGTGTTACTATAATGTATTAATTATTTCCAATATATGACATTCAGTACAAAAATATAGTTATTCCCTTCCAGTATCAAAGTGGCATACAGAAAACCTTCACAAGGGAAAAGTCCAAGGAAAACTTATATCTGGGCCCAGGAAACTGGCAGAGCATCCAACAAACTGTCAAGGTCAAGTATTTTCTACAATGTATAATTATCTATGTCAACATGTGTTCACAATATCTCCTTACTGAGGAAGGGACCGGATTGCCAAAACGTGAGAGTTAACCGGAAGCCCCGTCTCGTTTGCGCTTTGGACACCGTGCAGATTTTGATTCATTCTATGTATAAATTTTCCTTGGACTTTTCCCTTGCGAGGGTTTTCTGAACACCACTTTGATACTGGAAACTATGTTTTTGTACTGAATGTTATATATGGGATATTGGAAATAATACCTTATAGCAACACTCTGAGTATATAGAATCACTTTTGCCTTTATTGTAATAGCGCTGTATTTCACGGTGGTTGTTTTTTGCAGTTGTGCTGCCTCCTCTGCAGGGCAGCCAGAATTATTTGTATAAATTGTGGATCCATTTCGGCCTTTTCTAGATTTATGTTATAAACAACCCCGACCTTCTCCACCTCCTTCTTTTTTGCAGGATGCAAAATTAATCCAGGACTTGCATGTCTACATCCGTCCCAACCTTTTTTTAAAAAGCAGAAAATCTCAAAGCCGACGACGATCCTGGACAGCAAAAGATGACACCGAAAGAAACGCACAATCCCTCGGCCGTGGAAGGGCAGCAGGTCGGGTCCAGCCCAATGCAATGTTTGGGACCGTGAAATAAACGAAGGTGGAGCACAGCGGTAGTCATCCCGCGGCTGGCAAGGAGCTGCATTCACAATTGCCCTCGATCAAAAGAGTCACATGACTACTGTTATGCCATGCCCCCAGACCCCAGATACTCACATACAGTAATACATGTTTGAACGCCGATGAACACACACACGAAGCTGCCTTGCACAGAATCAGACCTTGGCTCCATCGAGGTCAGTCTTGTCTACTCAGACTGGCAGTGGCTCTTCAGGGTCGCAGGCAGAAGTCTTCTAGGTCATCTACTACCTGGTCTTCAAGTGGAGATACCAGGGATCAAACCTGGGACCTTCTGCATGCCAAGCAGATGCTCCACCAGTGATCCACGGCCTCTCCCCCCAAAATAAGAAGCTGCCTTTATACAGAACCAGAAAACTGGTTTGTCGAGGTCAGTCTTGTCTACTCGGACTGGTAGCGGATCTCCAGGGTCTCAGGAAGAGGTCTTTTGCATCATGCAGTATTTGATCCTTCAAGTGGAGATACCAGGGATCAAACCTGGGACCTTCCGCATGCCAAGCAGATGCTCTACCACCGAGCCGAGGCCTCTCCCCAAAAAATAAGAAGCTGCCTTACGCTTGAAGTGGTACAGTCCAGGAAAAAAGTTGCCACGTGGTTCTGCTGAATATATAAATAATCTAAGGGCACTGATCAGTGAAGTAACTGAGGCTTTCCATTATTGCAAAGAATAGTCGTGACCATTGAACGGTGAAGGAGGCGCCAGCCACAGGAGTTTTGCTCCAATTCCCATTATCTTCTGAAATTATGTACATTTCCTAATTTTATATCTGATGTTGTCAAATGAGAAAGGATGGGATCGTGAAGGAATATGTGTTCTGACATCAGTCACAGTAGGAATGGAAGCACTCTGGTTTTTAAGTAAAATTTCAACCACACACCAGCTAAGATTTCAGTTTTGTGTTTTGAAAATAACCTGTCGGTGACGCAGGTAAAATGGGATTCCCCTAATGTGTGTTCATAGGACACACTTAAACTCTTTAATGTTTTTGTTCTTACCTATCCAATTGCCAGTATCACTATATTCCTACCTGATACATTTGACATCATGAAATGAATGTGAGAGAGAGTTTAATGCCTTGCAAAACTCAGTTACAGAATTACTGTATAACTTCAGCTCCTTTCCCTAAATCTGACTTTATTTCTTGATCTCCAACTCACATGAAGCCACTTTATACTGAGTCAGACCCTAGGTCTGTCCAAATCAGTGTTGTTTACTCTGACTCACAGGGGCTGTCTAGGAGCGCGGAGGTCTTTCACGGCACCTACTGCCAGACTCTAACAGGTGATGGAGGGGACTGAACCTGGGACCTCCCGCATGCCATGCAGAGGCTCTGCCACTGAGCCACCACAGCCCTCCCTCTGTGTTTCATATTAATAGTTGCATGTTACCCCCATAAACTAGACATTTACCAGAGGTGCTGCTGAGCACACAGAGAATTTCCAGCGGGTAGCTGTGTTGGTCTGCGGTAGAAGAGCAGGACTTGAGTTCAGGAGCACCTGGAAATCTTGTTGGTCGTTAAGGTGCGATGGGACTCTAATCTGAGCGGGCAGGGCTGCCTCTAGGCCCCACCTGGCCAGCCCTTCCATATCTGGGGCGAGGAGAAGGGCTCTCAAGTCAGACTTGGGACACAACAGAGGGTGTGAGCTTTCGAGGTCTCCAAAATTCTTAATTAAGTTGGATGTTAACAATAAATGTTTCCCGACGCTAGAAGGTCCTTCCAGCTGAACTTCGGCATCATGGCTTCCCACCTCTCTCCCTGCTAAGCTTTCTACTTGCAAGGAGTTCAGTGCGGTGTAGCGGCTGGAGTGTCCGATTTGGATCTGGGAGGCCCAGGTTCGAATTCCCCTCTGGAAGTTCGCTGGGGGACCTCGGGCCAGTCAGGTGCTCTCAGCCTCACCTACCTCACAGGGCGCTTGTGAGGATGAAATGAGGGAGAGGAGAACAACGCAAGCTGCTTTGGCTTCCTACTGGGGAGGAAGGCTGGGCCCAGTATCTGAAGGAAGTGAGCAAACTGTGGCATGGCACCGCTAACGGCAGGACTGCATGTTATAGAAATGTAACAGCTATCATAACTTTCAGCAAGGCATTCAGGTTTCACCAAATGTGTATTAACTTTGTTTTTTAAACTGGCTTTAACTGAAAATGTTTTTAACTATTATTGCAAGCAGCCAGGATTTTGTGGCGTGTGGGGCAAATTTTTTTCTGGTGGGGCTGAAGTTCTCAGTGCAGAAAGAAAAGCCATTTAGCTAACAGAAAGCTGTTACCAGGACACATCTCTAAACTGCAAGTTGTCAACCACTTTAGATGACAGTTCCCAGCTGCTGCAAGTAAATCACTTCTGCCTAAGTAACAATTCTGAGAACAAGCCGGCAGGTGGTGGTGATGACTTCTGTAGTCAAGAAAGCTAACAGGCAGAAAAACTCTCTTAAAGGAGACCAGTTTCTTGACCCAGAGTTAGAAGGGATCCTAGAGGTCACTTACTCCAACCCCCTTGGCTGAGTGTGGGAATTAGTCAACTACAGCATCCCACTCTGCTTAAAGAAGTGCACGCCTTTTTAAAAAGTGTTTTAAAATTACTGAAAAAAGCATTTACAGGAGAAAAACTTGTGGGGCTGTGCCTTTAAGAAAGGGGGCGGAGCCCCCAAAGCCTGGTTGCAAGTCGCCTTGAACCACAAGGAAAAGAGGGATATAAATGTTTAAACAATAAGTAAATTAATTCAACGTATGTGTTTACTCTGGAGAACAAAGATGTAGTTCTGATGCTTCCCACTGTACCTGTAACACTGCTCTAATCAAGGCCCCTCTATCAAAAGAATCAGAATTACCAAGAACTTTTAATTAAGAGGTTTCGGGCTGATAAGAAACAACAGAAGCTAAGCAATCTAAGGGGGGGGGACTTTTTATAAAGACGTGTCTAGTAATAATGAAGGAAATCTCTCTCGATGCGCAACGTGCCTGTCTGGAGGTATCTCAATGACCTCACAGAGCCTTTCAAAATCAGACCCAAATGCAGTGCAAGTACCAGATGAACATCATCACCAGAGTCCGTCCCAGGAGGATCTTGTATCGGAACAGGTCCAGGATACTGCCCACTTCCTTGTGGGTCCTGTCCGAGGGCAGCGCGAGGAAAAAAGTGCACTTGGGCTTACGGTTCCTCTTTGCGATGAGGAAGAGGGCCTCCTCGGCTTCGCTCAGCCGGCCCTGCGAGTACAGCCAGCGAGGGGATTCGGGAATGAATCTGAAATGCAAGAATAGTTCACGGGCGGCTGTAGGGGTTGTTTCGACTTCTCAGTTATCAAGTACCTCATACTGCAAAGATATTTTGTATTCCAGGAAGAACTTGGGCTGCTTTGCATGGCAGAGACAAGGGAAAAAACTGTGGAAAGGCCCAGCACCCAACCGGGCACTGAGTGTAGCAGATTCTGAGGCCCAACCTAGACATTATGGTTAACATGGAACTGCCACCAGGACCAGCAGCAGGACGCCGACTGTGAGTTCCCTGTGGGGACTCACTTCTAAAGTTCCGCAGGGGCCCAATTTGCATGGGAACTGTGGCACAGGGTTTCCAGCCTGCCCCATTCCACCACTGTCCTACCCCAAAATGGCTCTGAGGCAGCATTATTTGCCCCAGAAGAAATGCATGCATGAGCATTCAGTTCACATACAGCCTTCCCATGGGGCAAATAATATTTCTTTGGGGCTGGTTCAGGTTAAGAAAACAGCAGAGGGAGAAAGGCTGGAGCTCCTCCTTCCCCTGCACTGCAGTTCTGACCAAAATCGGGCCCCCCTGGCACTCTAGAATTGAGTTCTCATGGGGAAGTTGCAGCTAGCGTACAACTGCAAGTCCCTGGGGCAATCATGTATTAAATGTAACATGGAGTTGGGGCCTGATAGTGCCATCGAAAGCACAGTTACACCCTGCTAAGTTAATTGATTTTAATAAAAATGTAACTCTGCTTGGGGGGGGGGAGTAATGTGAATGCGCAAACACAGGCTCTGGCTGGGAGGGCAGGGTAAAAATTTGAAAAATAAATAAATAAATAAATAAATAAAATACCCGACACACTTTATATGTGCATATAATGCAACAGACAGAGTAGATGCCAAACTGGTTGGTGAATGTGTTGCTCTTCTCCAATTCAGAAATGGCTGGTGTCAAAAATAAAAAATCTGACTCAGGTGCGAGAACATCTGTTTTCTCTCCCCCCCCCCCAACTTTGGTTCTCCTTCAGACTTTTGTCAGATGTTAATATTTAGCTTAAGGCATTTGTAAATTGAGGTTATGTTCTAAAATTGATAACCTCTGCCTTTTGTACGTGTTTAAAGTAAACTAGATAAACTCTTCAACATTAAAATGTCAGAAGTTCTCAATTGGCCCCCTCCACCCACTACATATTTATGGGTTTTCAGCATTACGAGGAGATTCAGGAATGCACAGAAGTGTCTTGGGAGCTTAAGGGTTATCTGCAATTCACATCCAGGTGGCCACTGTTTTTTTGGGGGGTAGATGGGGGAGATTAGGTGCCTCAACATCAGCAGTGCTATCAAAATGAAGCCTTCAATTCACTGGTTCAATATACGGGCAACATTTAAGAACATAAGAACATAAGAAAAGCCATGTTGGTTCAGGCCAATGGTCCATCCAGTCCAACACCCTGTGTCACACAGTAGCCAAAACCCAGGGGCCATTAGGAGATCCACCAGCGGGGCCAGAACTCCAGGAGCCTGCCCACTTTTGCCACCTTAAGTACCAAGAAGACAGAGCATCACTGCCTCAGACATAAGAACAGAAGAGAAGCCAATGGCCCATCCAGTCCAACACTCTGTGTCACACAGTGGCCAAAAATACCAGGGGCCATCAGGAGGTCTTGAGAAAGGTCACCTTTGGGCTTACAGTGGCTTCCCTTATGTTCTTATGTCTTCTCTTATTTATTACATTCAAATAGCTAGTGAGGGGCATTTTCCACGTAAAATCAAGCCAACTCAGCATGCGGAATCTGGGACCTAAACACAGACACACACATGAGGCTGACTTTTTCAGACCTTCGGTCCGTACTGTCTACTCAGATTGATAGCTGCTGTCCAAGGTCTTAGAGTGAGGTCTTTCACATCACCTGCTTCTACCTGATCCTCTCAACTGGAGATGCCAGGGACTGACCCTGGAACCTTCTGCATGCCAAGTAGATGCTCTACCTGGGGTTATCAACTCCAGGCAATTTTGGGGATTTTGGGGGTGAAGCCTGGGGAGGGGAGGGACCTCAGCGGGATACAATGCCGCAGAGTCCAACATCTAAGGCAGCCATTTTCTCCAGGGGAACTGATCGCTATTGTCTGAAGACCAGCTGTAATCATGGGAGATCTCCAGGCCCCACCTGGAGGCTGGCAACCCTAACTCTACCCTTGAGCCACGGCCCCTCCCCACTGGCAAGGAAATGGCCAGCAACACATAATCTGTGCATTTAAGACACCCCCCCCCAGCATCAGAACATGACTTAAGGGTTTGTTGATGTGGGCGCTCTCTCCTGACAGATGCTGGCTCATTGTGATGAGAATATCTCGTATTTATCAGCACTGTCACCAGATCGATAGTCTTCCATTTCATGGACACTTGAAGGTTTTCCCAGGGGACTACCCTTCAAAAGTGGACTTTGCAAAGGATTCAGACGGCTCTAGAAGATGAAAAGTCTAGAAGGTAACTTCTTGGGGAAGGGATAGAAATATGAACCGGGGGTGGGGGGTGGGGAAGAGATGAGAAAACCAGGGGAGAAAAATTTATCTGGTGCAAGAGAGGAGCAATCAGCTATCTCAATCCAGTGACAATTGATTCCCACACTTTTGCCATGAACACCGCCAGAAGGATTTTAAGACAGGTCACTTACAGGGAGAGCAGGAAGACCAACGTCCCCTCCAGGTTAACCACAACTGCCAACATCCTCCAGGAGCGAATGAGGTATCCTAACAAAGCGTACTGAGCAATTCCCACAGCAAAGAAGAGGCCACCAATTGATCCTAACGTGCAGAAGAAGGGGGGGGGGAATAGTGTTATTGACCATGCATTGGGACTTCAATAGAAAAGAGGGGGGGGGGGGGAAGGCTACTTGAACAAAGACATAAATTACTAGCAACTTTCCAATAAGCAGTATATAAAACCACCTGCAACCATTCAAATAACACTCACCCAAACATACAAAAAATACTTCACAAAATCTGGCTCAGGATTCTTCTTTTTCCTTTTGCTTTCAAGGTGAAATATGTTGTATTCTGGTATTTCAACATACGTGATATTACTTGCTAATTGTGGGAATATAATTGGTATTTTAACACGATGTCTCTTTTTCTTTGGACATTACCCACCGTGTTACCCGTTTCAGCTTGTTTGTATCTTTACATTTTGTGGAATGGTCCTCCTTTTTGCTGGGATCCGCTACTGTGGATCGCTTCTTACACCATCTCCTAAACAAACATTAGGTACCTCTAACATTTCATACTGTCCTATAAGATACTGTTGTACGACTAGGTGTTAAACTCTGAACAGAGGGTGATCTCCCAAGCGGACAACTGTATTTTGCTCTGATATCAAATACTCTACATTATATAACCAGACATATTCAGGTGGGTACAGCCATGCTGGTCCGAAGCAGCAAAACAAAGTCTGAGTCCAGAGTGGCACCTTTAAGACCAACAACGTTTTATTAAAGGTATAAGCTATCTGAAGAATATCTGTATCTGAAGAAGTGCGTATGCACATGAAAGGCTTATACCTTGAATAAAACTGTTGCTCTTGAAGGTGCCGCTGGACGCAAACTTTGTTCTAGGACGAGAATAGGGCATTTTCACACACACTAAATAACTCACTTCCAATGCACTTTGCAACTGGATTTTACTGTGTGAAATGGCGAAATCCACTTGCAAACAGTCGCTGAAGTGGATTGGAAACGGCATTATTTCGCAGGCGTGAAAGTGCTCTATAAGCACCAGCAGCTATAGCCTCAATGAGGTCAGTTTTTCGAGGTTTGATTAGCAGCGGCTCTTAAGGGTCTAAGGCAGAGGCCTTTCCCATCACCTGCTTCCGGAGCATTCTCACCTGGGAAGCCAGGGATTGGAGCGGGACCTTCTGGACGCAAAAGCAACTGCTTTGCCAAGGGGACCAGCCCCACCCTCGATAACCCTGAGTAACCATTTAGGATTGGAAAAACGAAGTTTGAGTCCAGGGGGGCACCTTTAAGACCAACAAAGTTTTATTCAAGGCATAAGCTTTCGTGTGCTTGCGCACTTCTTCAGGTCTGAGCAATTCCCACAGCAAAGACGGCCATCCTCTCTGGAAGGTGCCATAAAATCTCTTATGGACTCAGGCAGTGCCCTCATAGTCAGGGTGCCATCGAGTCTGTTTCCCCCGTTCTTTTAAAATTGCCCATTTTATACTACGACCCGGGATAGATTTCTGGACTCCCTCCTTTTTACATGGCCGTGGTCTCCCTACGAGCATCAAAGTCCAGTTGCTACTCTCGGGGCAAAACCCTTCTATAACTTTTAGTGTTGCCTGTTTTCTTAATCTGCAATTCAAATCTAGGAAACTATAAACTGGTCATTTTTTTTCTTGCTGTTTCTTTGTTTGTATGTATGACAGCCACATTGTTGATGTACTCCTAAATTGTAATGTACTTTTATCTCTGATATGCTGGTAAAGGTTGTCTGTATGCCACAGCAAAGAACAGGCCACCAACTGATCCTAGTTTACAGTGTGGGGGGGAGCTACTGACCATGCACTGGGACTTCAACAGAAAAGGCAGACCAAAAAAAGGCTACTGGAACAAAGACATAAAAGCAAAAGAAATTTAGAACACTGAAAGCAGCTGATCTGAAGAGGTATGCGTGCACAAGAAAGCTGATACCCAGAATTAAACTTTCTTGGTTTTAAAGGTGCCACTGGACTCCGACGTTGTTCTGCTGCTTCGGACCAGCATGGCTGCCCCACCTGACTCTATCTCCATTTAGGATTGGTTTGCACTAGACCACCGCTTCCCGCCTCTTATTGCCTTAACTTTAATGGAAGTAAAAACCTCATTGTCCCAAATAACAGGTGCTGGCATGTCTTCCACGAGCAGAGTTGTTATTTTCTATCAGAGCAAACCGCATTACATGCAAATCTTACTTGGCATCAGCAGAAGAAGTTAAACACACTGCCCACATCCTGAAAAAAACAGGAGGCTGTGCTAGATTCGAACCCAGGAACACCTTAGAGACCAACAAGATTTTCAGGGCAGAAGCTTTTGAGAGTTGGAGCTCCCTTTCTCAGTGGTTATCTGACAAAGGAAGCTTTGACTCTTGAACGCTCGTATCCCTAAAATCTTGTTGGCCTCTAAGGTGCTCCTGGGTTCGAATCTGGCAGCTCTACTGCAGATCGACACGGCTTCCTCCTGAAACTACCTTTGTGGACAGTTGTGTTGATATGCCAAGCCTATGAGATTCAAGGGGACTGACTCGCTGGCAAAAGACCCCACAGAGTTTTGTGACTGAAGGACTGTTCATGTGCGTGCAAGGAATATGAGGACTATTTTCATGCAGCAAAGTTAGTGACGACTCTACATGCACACCTTGACATGCAAAACACGGGAAGCCAGAGCTAACCACAACTACCTGCAGCGTCTCTGGATACAGTTAAAAAAGACAGGCTGTCAAACTCAGTCTTTAGTTTGCCATAATTTGCAGGGGAGGGAGATTCCTGAGGGGGGGTTGAATGACTTAAGTGTGTGTGAACTGCTCTATCTTAGGTGATGTAACTCTTCCCAAGATACCTCCCTTGTCTAGGGATGACCTTGAAGCCAACTGTGCCTGCTTGTTAGTTTAGATAAAGAAGCCGTATATTCACAGGTGTGTGTGTGTGTGTAGAGAGCACAAAAGCTAGGCAGGATGGTTGTGGAGTGTGAATGGAAGTACTGAAAGGGGGGGGCTCATTTGAACTGTGTATAACTTTGGATTCTCCCGCCAGAACCACAGTTCTGACACGGTGCTGATCTAGCCTGGAACACGATTATACCTCAATAAACAAATCACTGCCAAAGAGAGTGTTATTGAGAGTTAACTCTGTCCAGGAGTCTGACACAGGTTTGCTCTGAAGTGCTAAGAGGTGAACACAGTGGATGCACACAGTACACACAGAAACAGCATTCTCTCTAAGCTGTGCCTGTGAGTGGCCGCTCATTAACACAGGAAGCCCCGCTCAGCAGGATTTCAGGAATCTGGAGCCGCGCAGGGTCTTGGCACTGCCCATTGCCCATTTCAGGATTGCAGCAGTTATTTTCTGCTCAGGATATGAACTGCTCCGCTTGGTAGGGGGGAAAAATTAAGTGGGAACATTGTACGGGAGTGGCCACTGTTTTCCCGGTGCAGGGGGGGCAGCCCTCAGGCATTCCCTGTCTCTGAATTTAGATTTGCCAGAGGCGTCAAGAAACCCACAACAAAGATATGTGAGGTCGAAGCTCTACCTGCCAACGCCCAGTAAGTGGTGCCCACGCACTCGTTCAGTAGGACAAAAGCCACCAGCGACATCCCGCCGTTCATGACGCCCACCAAGAAGCGAGAGACGGCAAAGAACTCGTAGGAAGGGGAGAAGCCATTTGCGAGGGCAAACAGGATGTCAAGGGCAAAACCTGGAAGGCAAACAGAAGGCCCTTCTTCAGAACGTTGCCGAGATGTCTTTTTCCCCACAAAATAGGCTGCTTGTTGACATAACAGAATCTTTTAATGCAGTTTTACACAGCTCTGGAAAGTCTTCAACTCTCGCCTCCCAAAAAAGCACACGATACAATCTCTGGAGAAAAAGGGACACGACGCAGAACACCCCCCGTCCGGCTCACTTGGTGAAAGAACATTAGGAAGAACTTCCTGACAGTTAAGAGTGGCTCCTCAGTGGAACAGGCTTCCTCGGGAGGTGGTGGGCTCTCCTCCTTTGGAGGTTTTCAAGCAGAGGCTAGATGGCCCTCTGACAGCACTGCTCATTCTGTGAACTCGAGCAGTTCACGAGAAGGGAGGGCGGGAAGGGTTGCCTCAGTGCATAGTTCTCGTAGCCCTTTCTTACATGCCCAGGGAAATGTCGATCGCCACTTTGGGGTCAGGAAGCAATTTTTCTCCAGGCCAGTTTGGCCAGGGATCCTAAACGTGTTTTGTCATCTTCTGGGCATGGAGCGAGGGGGGGGGGGGTCACTGGCAGTGTACCCGCTAAGCTGAGTTAGTGTGAGCTAGCTCACAGTTTTTTAGCCTCCGGCTCACACCTTTTTGTCTTAGCTCAGGAAGGATGGCTCCAGAGCAAACTTAATTTATGCAGCAGCCAAATCACTCGCTCACAACTTTAATGCCAGTAGCTCACAAAGTCGAATTTTTGCTCACAAGACTCCACACCTTAGAAGGAGCATTAGTCACTGGGGGTGTTGGGGGTGGGTGGGAAGCATTTAAGAATTTCCTGCATTGTGCAGGGGGTTGGACCAGATGACCCTGGAGGTCCCTTCCAACTCTATGATTCTAAGCCCAATGTCACAGCAGCCACACACTATGGCTACTTCTGTTTGGGTTACCCACGGGGACTCGCAGAGGGGATTCTACATAGCTGAAGCCTGCCAGAGTACATATGTGTGAAAACTGGGACTGGGTGACTTGCTATGGGGTTCCCTTCCTTTTCGATCTCTGCAAAAGCTGTGGATGTTCATAGGCAGTCATGGGGGGGGGTAACATTGGGACTGCTGTGCAGTTTATCCTCATCCTGGGGGCAAGAGGGGAGTCGGGGGGGCACTGAGAGGAGAAGGAGGAGAAGAAGTGGAGGAGGAGGAGATTGGATTTATACCCCACCCTTCACTCGGAGTCTTAGAGTGGTTTACAAACTCCTTTCCCTCTCCCTTCTCACAACAGGCATCGTGTGTAGTAGGTGGGTCTGAGAGAGCTCTGAGAGAACTGCTCTTTCAAGGACAGCTCTGATGGAACTATGGCTTGCCCAAGGTCAACCAGCAGCTGCAAGTGGAGGACTGGGGAATTAAACCCAGTTCTCCCAGATTAGAGTCCACGCTCTAAACCACTACACCAAACAGGTGGCGGCGGTGGGAAGTGCCATCAAGTTGCAGTTTTCAGGGCAAGAGATGCTCAGAGGTGGTTTGCCAAGGCCTGCCTCTGCCGAGCGACCCTTGGTGGTCTCCCAGCCAAGTACTAATCAGGGCTGGCTACACAGACTTCCGAGATCAGATGACACCCTAATCTTAAAGCCACTGGAAGGCTGCCGGAAGGCGAGACTGGAGATTTTCCTGACTCATAGCTCAGTCTCTCGTCTACTTTGAGACTATTTTGAATCCTAAAATTATTGGTGAGAATGAGTTTAAAGGAAGATCTGGCTCTGCAGAGGCCCAGGGCTGCTAGAAAGCCGCAGAAAATGGGCACGTTGATGCGGGAGTCCAATATTCTGAATTCAGCAAGGTTTACTACATAAAGGTCAGGTCTCTGGGGAACGGCAACCAGACAGGAAAGGAAGAAGGAGGGGTGGACATGGATCAGACCTCCCCCACTCCCCCCACCACCACCACAGCAAGGGTGGGAAAACGACACTGCTGATGAAGGGCCATCTCCTTCCATATGTCTCTGTGCACCAGCCATGGTCACGAGGCAGCCATCTGTGGGCTACCCCCGCACTCAGGGTGGCCTACGTAGCATCGACCAGAGCCCGGACCTTTTCCGTGGCGGCTCCGGCTCTGTGGCCTGGGCTTCCTGAAGACATGACCGGGGGGGGGGCTCTTCCTTGGAGATCTTCTTCAGGAGGCACCGCAAGGCCTGCCTGTTTGTCAGGGCATTTGAGGGGGGGGGGGGTTTAAATGGCAGGCATCTTCGGGGGAGGGGAAATTTGGGTCTGCCATTTTATTTTTGGTTCTAACTGAAAAGGTGTCGAGCTGCTTTTGTAAGCCGCCTCGAACCGTGAGGGAAAGGAGGCTTTAGAAGTGTTTTGATAAATAAATAAATAAAAATTAGCCTGGGGTGGGAAACGGCACAGCTGCCTCCCAGCCACGCCCCCCTTTCCCCTCTGCGGAACGCGAGGAGGAGCCATGTTCGCCTCTGGCCAAAACCAGCCTGCGGCAGTTCTGGGATGTGGGGCAGCTGAGCTGAAGGCCAAGCCACCCTCGCAACCCCTCAGGACAGGAGAGGTGCCTCCTCAGGACACTCATCCCTGTGGTGGAAGGAGAGGGAGACGGGGCGGGGCATGTCGAGCCACGCAAGCCGGCCGGCCTTCTTCCGGGTGTCTTGGGGACACAGGCTGTCTTTCCCAAAGCATATTTTGAGAAAGTCACCTTTTCTGTATAGTTGGGGTTTCCTCAGGTAAGTAAAAACTCCCCACCTGTCTGTCTGGCCCCACGATGTGGCTTTAATTATCCGCTTGGGAGGACAGGTGCTTGGCTGTTAAAGGGAGTGAGTTTAATAGAAGACATCTGTGATGAATTTATATTGGGACAGCTGCAAGACCTTGGGACAGACCGAGCTGATATTTAAGGTACTGAGGGCAGGAAGTATGGGAATTGCAAGATGGGGGGGGGGATCAGATGACATAAAATAAATGGGATTTTAAATGCAGCAATAGCTTAAGAAGTCTGAACTCATCATGTCTTTCAAAAGTTAGGAAAGGCAAAAGTAATCATTTGGGTTTGGAACCGAGGCAAGATATTTTACTGGGAAAGGGAAATTGTTGGTATCAGGGGCTGAATTAGGGGACAAAGTTAATTTAATTTATTTATCGTATAAATTCACATTATGGAGAATGATATGGTGTGTGATTATTAAGAGACTGCATCTTTATTTAAAAATATTTCAAAGATCTTCTGGGCCATCTAAGGTGCGGCCTATCAACTCAGCAGCCACCCAAGAATCATTGCCAGAATATGTAATTCATCTTTGCTAGAAGAGAATTTCCCCGTGGGTAACTGAAGGAGACTGTTCTGAAGGTAGGTAAAGATAAAGGTTTCCCTTGCTCGAAAGCCAGTTGAATCCGACTCTAGAGTGCGGTGCTCATCTCAGTTTCCAAGCTGAAGAGCCAGCGCTGTCCGAAGACATTTCCATGGTCATGTGGCCGACATGACTAAACACCAAGGTGCACGGAACGCTGTTACCTTCCCACCAAAGTGGTGCCTATTTATCTACTTGCAGTTTCTTGCATTCGAACTGCTAGGTTGGCAGGGGCTGGGGCCAGAGACGGGAGCTCACTCTGTCATGCGGCACTCGGGTCTCAAGCTGCTGAACTACCGACCTTCCTGTCTGCAGTTCAGCATCTTAACCACTTGAGCCACCACAGCCCCTGTTCTGAAGTTACTGTGTTTTAAAGAAACTCCTGCTTTGGCTGAGGAAGATCTACCCAATTGCAGGCCTGCCTCAAGCTTCCCATTGGGGTGGGGGGCAAGTCTGACCTGGATAGCCCGGGCTAGCTCGATCTCGTCACATCTCGGGAGCTAAGCAGGATCAGCCCTGGTTAGTAGTTGGATGGGAGACCACCCAAGACGTCCACGGTTGCTCCGCAAAGGCAGGCAATGGCAAACCACCTCGGAACGTCTCTTGCCCTGAGAACCCAGTGAGGTCGCCATAAGTCCGCTGTGCCTTAGCGTCAAAAAAAGGGGCAACTCAGCCGGTGGTGGCAGAGAAACTCCCGGCGTACCTGGCTGACCTACCTGCCCTTGACTCGTCTGGCTTCAGGACTGCTTCTGGGACCAAAACAGCTTTAATTGCTCTAGTGGATTAGCTCTGTTGACAAATGCCTTTTGGCTAATCCTTTTAGACCTGCAGCTTTTGATACTGTAAACCAAATTTTATTGGTGCACCTGGAAAATGGGGTGGGAGTGACAGGGAGCACCTGCCATTAGTTTTGACCTTTTTTTCTTCCATGTTGGGCACAGAGTTTTGACCGAAGAGGCTGAATCATGAGTATGGGACTTGAAATTCAATGTCCCGCTGGGCTGTCTCCTCTCAACACTGCTCCTTAGCATCTACATCAAGCCACTAAACTGAGAGCCAGTTTGGTGTAGTGGTTAGGAGCATGGACTCTAATCTGGGAGAACCAGGTTTGTTTCCCCACTCCTTCACATGCAGCTGCTGGTGTGACCTTGGGTCAATCCACAAGTTCTCTCAGAGCTGTTCTGTCAAGAGCAATCCTCGAAAGAGGTCTCTCAGCCCCACCTACCTCACAGGGTGTCTGTTGTGGGGAGGGGAAGGGAAAGGAGTTTGTAAGCCGCTCTGAGACTCTGAGTGAAGGGCAGGGTATAAATCCAATCTCCTCACTCTTCTTCTCTTCTAAATGAGATCATTTGGAGATCTGGAGTTGAGCATCACCAATATGCTGACAACAGCTAGCTGTACATATTTATATTTCCAGAAGCAGCTCTCAGGGCCCTGAACCGGTGCTATGGTTCTGTCTGCCACCCAGCAGATGAAAGCAAACCAGGTACAATTTAATCCAGATCAGAGGGGAGGCCATGTCGGCTGGGAACACTCACTTACCCTTTGTGGATGGGATGGTGTCAGGATCAACAGCATGCAAAACTCCACACACGTTCCAAGGAATCGTTATGCTTTATTAGTCTACAGGTCTGTTGCCAGCTTATACAGGTACATTGTTAGGAATAACTGTGAAGGCTGA